GTTCAAACCTATCAGCTGCTTCTTGGGAACTCTATACAGGGTTGCTATGAGTTGGAATTGACTCTACTGCACTTAACAGTAACTTTAAGATAATTTAAGAAAAATTTGAGCATCACAAAATCTGGATTGACAATGGTTCTTACTTATTTTTGTTTCCTTCTTGTTTTTCCTTTTTTCTCTTTCAACAATATTGATGCTTGAGTCATATATTTTTTTTCTTTCTGCAACTTTTGGAAAATATTTGTTGTTGGTGGTAATGTTCTTTGGTTTCAACACCTGATTAAGTGTTCCATTTTCTTAGTATTAATTACAGAATCTTGGTGGTGTTGTTGGTTACACAGTGGGCTGTTAACTGTAGGGTCCATGGTTTGAGTTCACCAGTCACTCTGCCAAAGAAAGAGGAGGTTCTCTGCCTGTTAAAGATATACAGACTCTGGAACACTGTAGAAGGTCACTATGAGTTGGAATCAACTCCAGGGCACATAACAGCAACAACAAAGTTCAGTTTGATATATTACACTCTAGTCTAAAAACATTTCCTAAACATTGCATCATATCTATTGAATCAATAAACATGAGAGTGTTGCAGTTTGGATATCAGTAAGGTTTCTGCATTTGATTATAGAACTGTGAATTTAAAAACAAATTCAAATTATTTCACTTTGTTTAAGACTTGGAAATAGTTTGTTAAACATTAACTTCCTGAATTAAGTACTAACATAACAAATCCAACTTATATCTTAAAGGAAATGAATGGAAGAATATTACCATTTCATAATGCTGAAAAAAATTAATAAAACTCAACATTTATTCATGATAAAAAATTTCATAAACTATAAACATTTTTAAAAATTTAAAAAGTCCTCGTGTGATGTGCTAGACTGCAAGGTTGGCTTGAACTGCAAAGTCAGCGGTTCAAGCTCAGCAGCCACTCCTTGGAATTCCTATACAGGGTGGCTATAGATCTGAACCAACTCGATGGTACTTAACAACAACAATAACAAATATCTGCACCAGACAGTTAAAACAAAAGCAACACTAACAACAACAGCAAATTAATGAACACTAGCAACTTTCTTATTAAAGTGAGCGCTAGGAAAGAGTATATGCTATCATCACTACTATTTAATATTATGTTGAAAGTTATAAGTGCAGTAATGCAAGGAAACAAAATAAAAGTTGTGAGAATAGGGAAAGAAGAGAGACCAGATAGCAGAACAGCCCCAATTTTTTTTTTGCCTAAATTATGGCTATGAATCAGAACTAATTCAACCCACACTCAACAATCGTTTATTTTTTTCTTAGAGATTTTTTTTGTATTCTTCATCTGAATGGTGTATGAAAAACATTTACAAAAACCAATGGAAAGTAGTTTACTTAATCTCTAACTCCAATATTTTTCACCTACGTGCAAATGAAAATTAAAAGAAATGAATAAATAGACACACTTGTTAATTAAAACAGTTACATTTCTAACATGATTAGTATAATCAAATAAAATTTTAATATTTTAATCATTTGATTTTAATCAAATGAAATATCTCACAAGAATCTAACAAACTAAACCCAAAACTAACCCAATTAGGTGAACTTTTAATAAGGAAAATCTAGAACTAATGGCAAGACAATACTGTGATATTTCATTCACACAAACACCTTGAATCGTGAATCTGTAACTATTTATAATACTAGTTTGTTGGATCACTCCTTCCAATATAGATAAGAAAGTAATTATGATAAAGTAAAATTATGAAATTTCAGGAACACAAAATGTTCAAGATATTTACAGACCTCTATCCTTAGTGCTCCTCGAAAACTCTATACAGGGTTGCTATGGGTTGGAAATGGCTCGATGGCACTTCACAACAACAATCCTTAGTGCAGCACTGAAGGATAAACACTGGACTGCAAGGTTGGCGGCTCAAACTCACACTCTTCAAAAACCCAGGGTTACTGAGTTTGAAATGACTTGACAGCTCTTAACAACAACAAGCCTTGGTGATGTAGTGGAGTATGCGCTGGGTTGCTAACCACAAGATCATCAGTTTGAATCCACCAGTCGCTCCATGGCAGAAGACTGAGACTTTCTTCTCCTGAAAAGCTTAAAACCCTGGGAAATCTTCTACAGGATCACTATAAATCAGAACTGACTTTACAGCACATAGCCACAACAACATTAATTGCAGCAAATGTTTAAAAAAGTACAATGTTAATGAAACTTAATATCTATAGCCAAGTTTAACTTGGGCAGTTAATTCCAAAGAAACCTTTATAAATAAGGAGCCACATACAAATATTCTCAAGAAGTCTGACCTTTTTATATGAGCCTGTCTAAAGATCATGGCACTGTAGGATAAGCACTGGACTACTAACCACAAGGTCATCTGTTCAAACACACCAGCTGCTTCTTGAAAATCCTATGCAGTGTCTCTGTGAGTTGGGCCCTACCCGATGGTACTAAAATACAACAAAGATCACATAGTGTCACAGTAACTGTAGTTGTTAGTTGCTCTTGAGTGGATTCTTAATCATAGTGAGCCCATGTGTGCAGAGTAGGACTGTTCCATAGAATTTTCATGTCTGTGACCTTTGGGAGGCACATCGGCAGGCTATCCTTCTGAGGAATTTTTGGGTGGGTTTAGACTGCCTAGTCTACTGCTTAACCATTTGTACCACCAAGGGACTCTACCCCACAATTATGCATAAATTTACTCTTTGACATGATGGAGCAATAATTGGAGGACTTAATATCAGGCATAGCAATATGAGAGGCTACTTCTGCTGTCTCAAAAAAAAAAAATGCTGAAAATCTATTATTAGTTTTAAAAGTGTTGCCATAGGCGTGACAACTAGTTTAAAAGATGGCAATTTGAATCCATTCAAATTCAAAGGTGCCCTGGAAGAAAAATCTAGTCATCTGCTCTGTTAAGATTATAGCCAGCAAAGGCTTAAGAAACAGTTCTGTTCTAGAGCCCATTAGTTTGTCATTAGTTGGAATTGACTCAAGTGCAATGTGTTTGATGTGTTTATTAATGCATGAATGACTATTTTTTAAAATATATTTTTGTTTCCTTTTTCTTTGCAAAACCTAATTTGTTGATAGGGTCTCCTTCTCATCCAACAAAGACCTGGAATATTACAAAGAAATGTTCAGGAGAAATGTATCTCAAAATATAAAATTATATTTTCTTAAAAATATAATAAAATAATTTTCTTAAAAAAAAAATATATATATATATATAACATGAAGGTATGAAATGCTACAGAATTGATCTATTATGGTTTATTAGTCAGGTAACTTCTCAGCACACATTAACACATATAATCACACACATACATGTATATGCACCTCTAAGCAACATTTTAGAAATGAGAATATTCATAATTATCTGTACATATTTTTGTGAATTTGTAATGATTTATACATGCTATTCAGCTTAATTTGAAATTGAGAATTTCTTATGTTAGAGTTAATGAAAAATTTAACAAGGAAGTCATGAAATTTTTCTAATCTTATTCTTTGGAGTAACTACTGTAGTCATGTCATTTTAAACATAACTGTTCATCTTATATTTGTTGCATATTTTAGTAATGTGCATACTGTCTTATCTAAGATATAAATATATTCAAAATTAGAAACAGAACTTAATTTGTCATTTAAAAATTAATTTAAAATTGAAAGTGAAGCAACCTCTATTATTTTTTTTTTTTTTACAGGATTAACTAAATGTAAGCAAGTTCTGGGGAAGCTCTCAGAATTGATACGGAAAACTCTGTCAAAATCTAAGTGAGTACTGCATAAATTACTCAAAGTAGCATATTACTAGAAGAAATACATTTTATCTGTGTAGCATGTATTTTGATATTTTCTTGCTAATAAGTATTTTATAGAAGAAACTTGTTAATGGAACAAGAAATTGATAATTCTGAAAAGTTTTACTTTTCTTGAGAAATGTTATGGTATATGACTTTTATTTATTACTAAGGAACAAGTTGTTGTTGTTAAGTACCGTGGAATCAATTCCAACCCATGGAGACCCTGTTCAGGGTTGCCAAGGAGCAGCTAGTGAACTTGCACCACCGACCTTGCAGTTCAAACAGCTTTGTAGTCTGGCACATTAACCCACAGTGCCACACCAGGAACAAGAGACAGAAGAATTTGAAGAGAGTTAGTAGTGGCAGAAATATTCAATTTACTCTTTCAGTATTTCATAAGATTAAAGTGTCTAATTAACATTATATTTCAGAATATGCAGCAATAATTCCATACAGGTCAAAAGCCTTCTTTACTAAGGAGAGAATTAACTTGTCAAAATACTATGCAAATTTCATGAAATTGTCCTTGATTAGTTTTGAGGAGTTCTGGTGTGGGACTATAGGATAAACACTAGACTTCAAGGTCGGTTTGAATAGCAAGGCCGTTCAAACGCACCAGCCTCTTCTTAGAAACCTTATACTGGGTCGCTATGAGTTGGAACTGACTTGACGTCACTTAATATCAATATCAAAGCATTATATAACATCCTCAAAGCAGACAGAAAATGTATTAGCTTCTTCCCTCAACAATTATTTTCAACAATTATGCCAGGAACTTGGATACAGTAGTAAAGAACATAGATGATATTCCTGATATTGGTGGTTTATTGACTCATGGCATCTATCTATATATTCCAGTTTTCTAAATTAATTTAGAATAGGTACTCTATAATAATAATTGTATTTGTTGTTGTAAAGTGCCGTTGAGTCGATTCCGACCCATAGTGGCCCTGTAAGGGTTTCCGAGGAGCAGCTGATGAACTTGAACTGCCAACCTTGTAGTTCAAATGGCTTTGAAGTCTGACACATTAACCCACTGCGCCACAACAGAACTCTGAATAATTGTATACAATTACCAAATTAATAATTGTATACAATTACCAAAAAGAAAATCCAAAACACCGTATTTTAAATAAATAAATATATATATATATAATGACCTAGGAATAATTTATTTTTCTCACTATATTTATTTTATTAATCCTCACAATACCCTTCCAGAAAAGCTGTTTATATTACCATTTTACAAGTCAAAAAGCTGTAACAGAATATTTAAATGGATAATTTCAAGTCAGTATCCTGTTGTGGCACTATAGGATAATGCACGGGACCACAAAGTCAATTTGAATTGCAACATTGGTGGCTCAAACTCACCAGTAGCTCTCAGAAACACTACTAGGAGTTGCTATGAGTGGGAACCAACTCTACAGCACTTACCAACATCAAATCTCAAGTCACAGGGATTTTAAGTGATAAAGACTCTCATTTGGACAGTCTGCCTCCAGAGATTGCACTATCTACTCCATTATGTATTAGAATGCACAAAGAATATAATCTGAAAAAATACACAGCAGAGTTAATACACATTCATTTCTCTAAGGTTTTAATGTTTTTAAAGTGAATGTGTACTACTTCCCCACCAATAATAATTGTTTTTTAAAAAATAAGAACTTTGTGTTTCGTGTTTTACCAAACACCTAGTGATACAAATGATGTGGAAGAACTGGATTTCTGATACCAGCTAGGGCTGGTATAAACTACTACAACTTTGGAAAACAATTTGGCATTACCTCATACTTTACCAATGAGTAATTCTACTTGGATGAATATACCCAAGCATCTTACTTGTGCATTAGGAAACATACAGAAGAACGGTTATTGCGGCACTGTTTTTAAAAGAAAAATAAATAAATAAATAAAAGGGGAGGGGGACTCAATTACCCATTGAAAGAACAAGAATGAATAATGAATTTTAATATAGAAATATAATTGAATACTATACAGCACCAACATTATTGAGTCATGGTGTGGCACTGTAGGGTATGCACTGGAAGGCAAGGTTAATTTGCACTGAGTGGAGGTTCAAACCCACCACCCACTAATAGGAAATCCTATACAGGGTTGTTGTGAGTTGGAATGACTGGACGGCACTTAACAACAATAGCAACAAAATTATTGAATTTTGTGGGACCATATTTAAAACTTTTAGTAATAACTAGTGATTAAGTTTAAAAAGTATATCTGAAAGCATATATAGAAAAGGTCTTTTTAAAAGATTCAAAATAAACATACAGATATGTTACAGAAACTTAAAAATAAAAGTCAGGGAATGATGAAAACTAAATTCAAGGTATGGCGCTGTAGGATGATAATCACTGAAGTGGTAACTACATAGTTGGTAACTCAAACCCAACAGCTGCTCTGGTAAACCTTACTACTTGGTCTCTATGAATCAGAACCGACTCAATGGCACTTAACGACAACAGCAACAAATTCAAGGCGGTGGCTACCTATGAAAGGAAAGATAGGGGATAGTAAATGTTTCAGATAATCTTTGATTTTATGGGTTGAGTAAAGAGAGCATAGGTGTTCATTATAAATTTATTTTAAAAAGTCAAGTGGTTGTGTCCATGAATGTCACTAATTAAGAATAATGATAGCATAGTGGTTAGGAGTCGGGCTGCTAACCTCACGGTCAGCAGTTTGAAACTACCAGCTGTTCTGAGAGAGAAAACTGAGGCTTTCCTTTCTGGTAAAGGTTTGCCGCCTTGGAAACCCTGTACAGGGTCACTATGAATGGGAACCAACTCCACAGCACATAACAACAACAACAACATCACTTAGATAGTAAACTTATGTTTTACTTGAATAATGGGGAGCACTGGAAAACGTTAACTTAAAGATAATAGTAATTTGTGATTAGTCATTCTTTATATTTTATTTGTTAAAGGGGATTTTGTCTAACAAATTTAATTATGAAATTTTCTTAAGCTTCCATTATATTTATAATCTTTGCATTGTGTGTTTCATATTTTAATTCAGGTTTGTAAGCTTACTTAAAGACTTCGTTGAGTCTGAATTTTTTTTAATTGATGGAGATTCTTTATTCATCACTTGCGTATTCAATGTGAACTTTAAGAAAGGACAAACTCTTCACTTTTTTTACATTGTTGAACGATATCTGCATGATTTCATTAAAAAAGAAGCCAGATTTTTAATTGTCTTTTTTAAGGTAATAAAAATATTTAATTTTCCATTCTAGTTTTATAGTTTTTTTAAAAGAAAAAATATTCAGTAATTTAAAATTTTGTTCAATCATTACTTAGTCTTTTAGATATTTTAATTCTTCAGGCAATAACTAACACCCCGACTAATATAGTATAAATTATATCAAATGTTAACAGTAAGAAAATAGCTAGTGAGTCTATATTTGTCTTAAAAATTTTGCAAGATGCAGAAAAAATATATTTTAACCTTTTTGAACTTCTTTGTATCATGCAATGCAAAAAGTTGTCCAAAAGACTAATCTTTAGGAAAATAGCTAGTTACTCTATTTTATCTCTATTATTAATATTAGTTTGCTTTTTCTGCAGGATGTGGAAAATATGTATTTTAATTATCCTGAACTTTTGGCACTTCGTACTGCATTAATTCAACATCTACAACACAATACTAATGCAACTGTTCATACAGAATTTTCCAATTGCTTGTCTCCAGAATGGGAACTATTTCTTAAAGAATGTTATCCATATTTTCTGATTGTCACAGACCAAGGAATAACATATTATCACACAGAGTTTTTGAACATTTTTATCATTCATGCTCTTCAGAATAAAATCAATATTGTACTATCTTTGGGACAAGAGACTGATGTCCTTAGAATTCATGGGTACTATGCCGCAAGTTGCTATCTTCACAAACAATTTTTTGAAAAGGTAAGCCATATTGAATTTCCCAGAAGATAGAAACAATGTGAATGTAGAGAAATTTAATTGAGATCAACAATATATGCCTTTATTTGAACTATTCTGTGCATATCAAAACTTTGAAGGAGCATTCTAACTTGGGAGAAGAGGACAGAATTTTGTAATGGCTTTAGTAAGAGAAATCAGGTGAAGTTTGAGGAGTAGTTGGTCAAATATTTTTCGAAGAATCAATGATGCTTCTCATAGACTGAGATATAGGGTGAAGAGGAACCGTTGTGGGTTAATTTCATAAAAGAATAGCTGAGAAAGTCAAAGAAAGTGCAAAGACTACTTTGTGTACACACATATACATTAATTTATATAATAGAAATGTTGTTATTGTTGTTATGTGCCATGGAGTTGGTTCAGACTCTTAGCGACCCTGTACAGTGTTTCTGAGGCTATAAATCTTTACGGGAGCAAAAAGCCTTATCTTTCTCCCACGGAACAGCTGGTAGTTTCTAACTGCTGACCCTGAGGTTAGCAGCCCGATTTATAACCACTAAGCTACCAGAGAGCCTTATAATATACATAGGTACCTATCTATCTATCTATCTATCTATCTATCTATCTATCTATCTATCTATCTGTCTATCCATACATGAGTATATATATGCATTTTTAAATTTACCCATGTAGTTTCACTTTAAAAATTAAGATAGATTATTGAGAAAATACTTTATTTTTACTACTCTTATTGAAACTATTTGATATGGTTGTATCTCTTTAAAATAGGTTATATATATCTATATATATCTATATCTATATATATAGATCTATATATAGTTGTTGTTAAGTCAGTTCTGACTCACAGTGACCCTGTATAGGGTTTCTGAGGCTGTAAATCATTGCAGGAGTAGAAAGCCTCATCTTTCTCCCGGGGACATTTTAAATCATTGCAGGAGTAGAAAGCCTCATCTTTCTCCCAAGAACTGGCTGGTGGGCTCAAGCCCCCGGTCTTGTAGTTTGCAGTCCATTGCTTATCCTACAGAGCCAATGCACTCCCATGGTAGATTTAAACAGTAAAATTTAAATGGCTGGCTTTTAGGGATTTTTTGTTATTGTTGTTCATTTTTTTAAAAAAATAAATACATTCTAGTGGTTATTCCTGTATTTTAATAACCTCATTAATGGGTAATTTAAGCAAAAAGAAAGGTAGTCTGCTTTTATTTTAATTGGCTGAATTGATTTTTTAAGTAGTCAAATCATCATGGATATAAAATGTTTTGTGATATGATTATTTTTTGAACCCAAAGATTTACTTATGTCTTTTTTTGTTTAGCATGAAGAACAACTACAATTTGCCATAAACACCTACCTAAAAACGTATTTCCAAAAGTTGCAAGAAACAGAAATATACCTATATGGTCTTATGAAGCTAGACTTGGAAGACATGCAAAAAGAGGTAACAAGATGATTTATACATTTATGTGAACATTTTATACAATAAAGTTTGATATCAACAAAATATACTTTAAATTGCTTCTAGAAAATAGATATTTCCTTTATCAGTATGTATGTCCTTACCAATTATACAGGGCAATATTTGTGGGATTTGTCCTCTTTCAATCTATATAACATTGCATCAGAAGAAACCAAAAAAGAATAAATTTCTAAATAAATAAATAAGTAAACAAGTCAGCCAGTCAGCCACAGAGTCCATTTAGACTCATGAAGACCCCAGGCAGGACACAAATGCATTCCCTAGGTTCTTCAGTGAGTATGAACTTTTGGAAACATATCATAGGAAGGAGTCTTAGTATTGCAGTGGTTAAGAGCTTGCCTACTAACTGAAAGGTCAGTGGTTCAAGCCTTCCAGCTGTGGAATAAAGATGTGACAACTGGTGTTGGTAAAGATTAAGCACTGGAAATGCTATCATCTGTCTCATAAGACCTGTACAACCAAACAGCAATGAGTTAGGTCAGTTTCTTTTGATGCATGTAACCAATTGTGTCAGCCAGAGATATTGTAGCAGAAGATTTGCTTAATTTACTGATGAAAACCTTTTGCCATTTTCTGCAAAACGCTTAGTATTATATGTACAATAAGATCAGGGCGGACAATTTGTTATAATTTTTAACATAAAAATTTATTCTTGACATGTGTATAGTAACCATTGAAGATTATAATGCCTAGAAGATAGAAACGTTGAAGAATTTTGCAAAAGAAAGCCATTTTTTTGTAGCTAGCAGTTGGCATTTAAGCAATTGATACATTGGTAATCTTTTATGAGGAAGATCCCTAAATCAATTGTTATTTCACTCTTCTGGTTATTCTGATTTCTCATTGGTGATACTATTTATTCTATAGGTAATCTGTTTCCAACGGCAAAGTGACCTGTGAGAATGGTTTCAGCTCCAAGTTTAAAGAATATTACTAATGTGAAAAAAATGCAATACATTTTTCCAAGATTTAAAGCTACCTTTGAAACTTGCTTTGAAACTTTTTTTTATATATATATTCAGTGGCTTAAATATATATCTATATATTTCAGACACATCAAACCTTATCCTTGCTTCAGAATCTGTGGCCAGAAGGTGCTGATGTCAGAAGTGTAGTCTGCTCTGTTGCATGCTCAGTGACGCTAAAACTCTATCAAAAAATGTTACATGATGTACACTCCTGTGGAAACCCCAACACATGTGCAGAAAATCCTGTAACACAGGTGAGATTCTTTAAAAAAAAAAATAATAATAATATATAATTTTTAAAGATGTGGAAGAGCTTAAAACTTGTTGTTAAGTGCCATCAAGTTGGTTCCGACTCATAACGAACTTGTATAGGGTTTCAAAAGAGTGGCTGGTGAATTTGAACAACTGAGGGTTCAAACAGACCTTTTATTCCAATGCTTTATCCTGCAGCACCACACTTAAGAGTAGAAGTAGCGCTAATTGTAACTTCAACATCAAACAGAAAATTATGATTTTATCATGTTTATTGAATAAATATTGAAATAAATATATCCTTATGAAAGAATGCAGGGATTTATTGTTGTGAATTGAGTGAAGGTTTATTGGTAAAATCAGCAGCTTTACATTCACAATTCATACAGTTTATTTCATCTCAGTGAATGCAATCCCCTCCCTGCAACAATATTCTACTTCCTCCCTGTGGTTCCCCATTTACATCTTACATTTCACAAATAACCAAAGCAGAAATATTTGATGCATACATACAAAACATATATATATATATATTCATTTAAATGTCCAAAGGGCACATTCTGAAAGCCAGCCTCCTGGCCACAGGCATACAGTCCTCGTCAGTTCATGGGTCTAGAGCCTACAGTTGCTTTGATTTTTCCATGCCACCACTTCTGCCACTGTCTCTACTGTTGCTGCTTTTCTGTGTAAGGATCTCACACTCCACTCATGCTATTCCTTCTTGATGGTCCTGGGATTGTTGGTTCCTGAAATGAAAGATTAATTATTTCTGCTTTGTAGCTACACATCTTCTATAATTTCAGCTTTGATAATCATCATTAATCCTGCTAACGATTACTCACAATTGAATCATAAAATCCTATCAGCATCATCCATACCCTCTTTCATCAGGCACATCTGAAACAAAGGAAGACTTTTCAGAGGGGATACCACCTCACCAACCTAATTCTGAAATAAAGGACATCCATGAAAACTTGCAAACTAGCCACTTCATGCCTTTAGGTTGTTGTTGTTAGGTGCCATCCAGTCAGTACTGACTCATAGAGACCTTATGCACAACAAAATGAAACACTACCTGTTCGTGGTCCAACCTCACAATTATTGCTATGCTTGAGCCCAACAATGCTGTCACTTTGCCAATCCATCTCACTGGTGGTCTTCCTCTTTTTCTCTGACCCTCTACCTTATCAAACATGATTTCCTTCTCCAGTGACTTGGCTCCTCCCAACAATATGTCCGATGTATGAGAGATGAAACCTGGCCATCCTGGCCTCCAAGGAGCACTCTGGCTGCTCTTCTTCCAACACAGATTTGTTTGTTCTTTGGGCGGCCCATGGTACATTCAATATTCTCCAACACCATAACTCAAATGCATCAATTCTTCTATGATCTTCCTTATTCACTGTCAAGCTTTTGCATGTATATGAGTTTATTGAAAATACCGTGGCTTGGGTCAGGCACGCCTTAGTCCTCAAGCTGACATCTTTGCTCCTCAACACTTCAAAAAGGTCTTGTGCAGCAGATTTGCCCAATGCAATACAGCGTTTGATTTCCTTGCTGCTGCTTCCATGAGTGTTGATGGTTGATCCAAGAATGAAGTCCTTGACAAATTCATGCCTTTATTGTTCCCCCTAAGGAGCTCTGGCCACCATTAGTCTGTCAGTTTGTCATACTGTGGTGACTTGTGAGTTGCTGTGATTCTGAAAGCTATGCCATTGGTAATTTAAATACCAGCAGGGTCACCCATGGTGGACAGGTTTCAGATGAGCTTACAGACGAAGACAGACTAGGAAGAAGGAGTGACAAACTACTTCTGAAAATTTAATCACTGAAAACCTTATGAATAGCTGAGAAACACTGTCAGATATAGTGCTGGAAAATGAGCCCCTCATGTTGGAAGACACTCAAAACGCGACTGGGCAAGAGCCGCCTCCTTAAAGTAGAGTTGACGGTGATAACGCAAATGGAGTAAAGTCCGTGGGAGAAAAGTCCTCGGGATCTTCATCTGCTGATGGGGCACAACTCAAAATGAAGAGAAACAGCTGTAAACACCCATTGAAATTCGGAACATGAAATGTACGAAGTACGAATCTGGGAAAATTGGAAGTTGTCAAAAATGAAATGGAACACATAACCATTGACATCTTAGGCATTAGTGAGCTGAAATGGACTGGTATTGGCCATTTTTAATCTGATGACCACATGGTTTACTATGTCAGAAATGACAAATTGAAGAGGAATGGTGTTGCATTCATTGGCAAAAGGAACATACACAGATCAGTCATGAGGTACAATGCTGTCTGTGATAGGATACTATCCATGCGCCTACAGGGAAGCCCAGTTAATACCACTATTATTCAAGTTTATGTACCAATCACTAAAGCCAGTGAGGATGAAATAGAAGAATTCTACCAAATTCTTCAAACTGAAATTGATCAAACATGCAATCAAGATGTATTGATCATAACTAGTGATTGGAATGCAAAGATTGGGAGCAAAGCGGAAGGATCAGTAGTTGTTAAATATGGCCTTGGTGATACAAATGATGCTGGAGAACGCATGATAGAATTCTGCAAAAGCAATGATTTGTTCATTTCAAATACCTTCTTTAGACAGCATAAGAGACGACTATACACATGGACTTCCCCAGATGGAATACATAGAAATAAAATTGACTACATCTGCGGAAAGAGATGATGGAAAAGCTCCTATCATCAGTGAAAAGGCCAGGGGCAGACTGTGGAACAGACCATCAATTACTCATATGCAAATTCAAAATGAAACTGAAGAAAATGAAGACAAGTCCAAGAGAGACAAAATATGACCTTGAATATAACCCATTTGAATTTAGAGATTATCTGAAGAACAGATTTGATACATTAAACACTAAAGACTGAAGGCCAGAAGAGTTGTGGGATGACATCAAGAATATCCTACAAGAAGAAAGCAAAAAGGCATTGAGAAGACAAGAAAGAAGGAAAAGATTAAAATGGATGTCATAAAAGACTCTGAAACTTACTCTCCAGCATAGAGATACTAAAGCAAATGGAAGAAATGAGGAGGTAAAAGAGCTGAACAGAAAATTTCAAAGGTCAGCTTGAGAAGATAAAGCCAAATATTACAACAAAATGTGTGAAGATCTGGAATCAGAAAACCAAAATGGAAGAACATGCTCAGCGTTTCTCAAGCTGAAGAACTGAAGAAAAAATTCAAGCCACAACTTTCATTATTGAAAGACTCTTTGGGCAAATTATTGAATGATACAGAAAGCATCAAGAGAAGATGGAAGGAATACAGAGAGTCACTGTACCAAAAGGAAAAAGTTAATGTTCAACCATTTCAAGAGGTAGCATATGATCAAGAACCAATGATACTGAAGGAGGAAATCCAAGGTGCATTGAAGGAATTGACAAAGAACACGGCACCAGGAATTGATGGAATAAAAATTGAAATCTTTCAGGAAAGTGAGGTGGCACAGGAGGCACACACTCATCTCTGCCAAGAAATTTGGAAGAAAACTATCTGGCTGTCTGATTGGAAGAGATCTGTATTTGTGCGCATTCCAAAGAGAGGTGACTCAGCAGGGTGTGAAAAATAAT